TTCAAACAGCCGACTCATGCAATGAGCACAGGACCCGGTCCCACTGCCTGGATGCCTCCCAAACAGATCAAAAATACAAAATCAGAAGCCTAGGGATATAGCTCAATAGTAGGTCACTTATCTAGAAAGAGCCAGACACTAGATTCCATCCACAGCACCACAAATGCTATTACTAGGGATAAAAGTCATTTCATGACAAAAGGGTCATTTCAGTAAGAGGAGGTAATAATCCTAAATGTTCAAATGAGTTTAAGTCTCCAGCACCTGTGTTAAAAGCTAGACATGGCTTCTCACTGGTGCTATAGGGTGTAGAGACAGGCATTTGCTGCAGCTTGCTGGCTGCCAGCCTAGTTCCAAGTTCTGTAGGAGACCCTGCATCCAGGGAATAAGGTGGAGAGTCACAGAGCAGGGCACGACACACAGTGTCTTTGTCTGGCTTCTGCATGTGTTCTCATGGTGCACAGATACACTATACACAGTCACACACACACACACACACACACACACACACACACACACACACACACAAATGATATATGCATAGAAAATTATATTTACAATATATATTAATATGAAGCAAAAAGTGATGGAGCTACAACAGGAAAAGAAATGCACAATTAGAAGTTAGTATCTTTCTCTTAATAACAGACAGAAAATAGCCCAAAACCCAGAAAGAATAAGTAGTATGGAAAGTCGCATACTGATTTATCTTTAAAAGCTACACTGAAGAATACTGTTAACAAATTGACATGGCGTTGTTTGTAGAGCTCTCCACTGCCCAGTACTGTATGCATTCTTCTCATGTGCACATGAAGCATTTACCAAAATGGACCATAGCTTGTGTTACAAATTTGAAAGGATTGGAGACATACGAAGTATTTTCTCTGACCACAGTAGAATTAAATTCAGTCATTAACAGAAATATCACAGTATTTTGAAACCAAACAAACATTGAATCTGTGCCTTGAGCCACGATGCTCTGTAGGCATGTGGGGAGACAGTTTTGATGGAAGAGCCAAGCTCATAGAACCACAGAGTCCAGGAGCAGTGGCATGCCTGTCTGCCCTCTGTGCCAGTGCTGATTTGGTGTATTGCTTTGGAAGCTGTTTTGTTTGCTTGTCTCTCTTTATCATTTTTTATTAGCGTGCAAAATAATGGGTTCCATTATGGCAGTTCATACCCCTAGTATCACTGTGCTTTTCTCTCAGCCTGCTTCTCAATCTAAACGTTGGGGAATAATGGTTTTCAACAGTATTTGATCTTTCCATTTGGAAAACAGTACACTTTCTTTTTAGGAAATATGTTTTCACAAATGGTCTGTGCACTGTCAAATAGAAATGACTGGTCTGGCTCCTGGTTTGGTGTCTAAAGCTGATTTGAAAGATGTTGGATGTTGTTGAATAACAAGCAGTTATGTGATCACATGGGAACTGTCTCCATGGACAACAAAGAATAACAAAGTCAGCCACAAAAATTCCACTTTGAAAGTAGTGAAAAGACAGTACATTGTTCATCAATATTAGACACAGACGGTATGAAATACTAGTAATGTGTTTCAGTAACAAACTCAACAGGTATTCCAGAAGCAATTTCTAGAGTGCTCTGGAGTCACCAGGGAGCCTTTAGCAAAGATGTGGGTTGAACCAGGAGAGGATACAGATGAATGGGAAAAAAAATGAAATCCTAGGCTTTGTACCCAGGTTTTACTTTGTGTCCTTGCATAATACTTATACTTATTTTTTAGAAATCTTTTCCCCTACAATTGCTAGAAATAACTGAGTTATTACCTATAAAATAATTTGTGCTTTATTTGAACCCCATCAGAAGAAGAATTTGTTTTGTACAAAACTTGTCCTGCCATCTAAGCTACTTAACAGTTTATATAAAAACAACCATACACTTGGCCTGAATTCATCTTGTCAATGTTAAGTACTATAGTTAAATAAATCACTGTGACCATAGGCTTATCATTTCATCCGGACTAAGTAAGATCATGCAGGAATCGGCAGCTTTGTGCCATGGTGACACCTTGTCACAGCATCCCTGAAGTGAATCATTTTACTTGTCTTTCTCAGCTTGTGCAAATTGAAAAGCAAACTGGTAATGATCAGTCTCTCTGCTCCCGTCTGCCTGTAGTGCTTCTCTTCCTGTTTCCCCTCAGCCCTTCGATTTTCTCCCTCCTTTTCCTGTAATGGTCCAAGGGTGAGAGGATCTCAACTTCTGCTCAGGCAAGGTGTCACCTTTCTTCTGAAAGATGCTCTTTGTTTCACCTACATCAAGGGACCCAGCCGATCTCCTATGTAACCTCCTCTCTATAGACAAAACTAAGGAGATTCCTTCTACAAAAGCTTCTTCCAAAGTCCTTCTGTCATCTAATTTATAGTCTAGCCTGTCCCACTGACTTTATGTACCTAATTACTCTCCAATTTTGAGTAATCAGTCCCCATTTGAAAAGATAGAGTCTGTCCTAAAATATTTACTGGATCTACCAATCAACCACACAGGTTGGTTTCTTTTCAATTTTGCCGCTTGATATTTTAGCGCCCTGGTAGACATTTTGTCCCAGGGTGCTCTAAAAATGTTTAAGGCTCTGAAGATATAGTTTAGTGGCAGAGCTCTTTCTATCTCACACGAAGTCCTAGCTTCAACCCCCAGCCCCAGTGCAGAGAGAAGATAGGAAGGGAGGGGAAGTGGGGGAGACAAGGAGAGAAAAGAAAAACCTAGGGGAAAAATAGTGTCTGGGCAACTTATAAACCATTAACTCTTAAAGTTCTACCTTTAAGATTTTTAAGAACTCTTAAAGTTCTACATTTTAGACAGAGTTTCTTCCTTCCACGTGTTCTTGGCTTTCCCACCCCAGTTTTTCTGGAGCACAGTAGTGAAATGGGGAAAGAGTGGAAGGCAGGCTGGAGAAAGCCAAGAGGTGCCATAGACAGAGTTCAGACTGCATCTGGCCAGAGTTCTGGCCAGGGGAAAGCAGGCTGGAGGCCAGCCTGTGCTGTGCTTACCAAGCACACACCCGGTGTGAGACGTTTTCGTCTAAGGAAAGGGGCACCTTGACAGTCCGCACGAAGGTGTCCTGTAGGCTGGTCGTGTCCTAGCAAAAGTTCTTGTGAGGAGTTTTGATTTTTTTTTTAATTGATGCATTGAGAAACCACTAAGAGAATAAAATAATCTACATTTTGTGAAGAACACTGTGTCATATGCAGCATGGACAGGGGAAAGGCTGGAGTGGCCTTTGTCAGAATTAGAGTAGTAGGAAGGCAGGTGCAGTAAAATGGGGTACAGACATCTTTTGTTTGGTGTGGAGAGGAGGGAGTAGCTGAGAAGATGTTAGTGCTGGGTCCAGACAGAGGGAAAGCTGGGGAGAAATAGGCTTTGGGGCAATGTCAAGACTTGTACACCATGCAATTCACTGTGAGTTGTCAGGAGCATCTGATCTTCAGAGAAGTGTTCTTTCCCCTCTGAACAGTTCTGTAGTGTCCCTTCAAGGTCACCAGTAACCCTTCCCCAAGCAATGTAGAAATGTATTTTGAGAGAGCCGGAATATCTCCTTTTATTTTGTCTACACTTTGCCATTGAGCAGCCCTGTCCTCCGGGCAGTAAATCCTACTGACCCTGGGGCTAGTCTCCTAGCTCACTTTATTTAATCTAAAGAGTTTCCGGTAAACTTTGTCAACAAACTTTCTGTGTCCTGGTATCTCAGTTTCCGGAATCCCTTGAGAAATTCAGGAAGACCTCTTTCCTTCTCTAAATGACCAGAATCACACAGTCAGAAGCAGTCAGGCTGGGCAGTCTCTTCCCAGGTAACCTGGCACTCACCACATCCTATAGACTTTATCATTCTGGCATGGCGCAGTGTAGACCTGGAGCTGATCTGTCGCTAGGATCTCATCTCCGATCTCAGAAGCTGAAGTCCGCATGAGTGACTCTGCTCCCCAACGGTGTCTTGTCTCTTGCTCTAGCAGGCAGAGCCAAAGCCAATAGTCACAAGCCACATTGAGGAAGATATTGGCCCCACTACAGGAAAAAGGGCTTGATGCTTAGTGCTGTCCGAAATGGAAACTCCTGCTGGGGAAGGAGTGAGTTATGGTTTCGTGAGCTGTGAGGTACCACAGAACATCCTTCCATGTCCGTTCTGTGGTAGAGACGGCAGGGCTGGCACGTGGAGGTAATCTGCACTGACTGGAGTTCTTGCCCGTGCTACAGCCGTCCACAGATGCTCTGCCTCACTTGATCCTCATAAAGGCCCCCAAAGGAGCCAGTTATAACTCCACCAGGAGAGGTTGTGATCGCACAGCCAGCAAGTGTCAGAGCCAGGACCGGGACTCAGTTCCACCTCCAACTAAAGCCCTTGTTTGTTTTTTCCACAGTTCACAGAAGCATGAGAGACTGGAGCAGGGATTTCTAAAGCCCCTTCCAGCATTGTGATTCTGTCTGCGTCTCCATGTGGCTGTGGACATCCTTGTCTGTCTTCCCTCTGGTCTTCTAGCCTCACTGGCACTCAGAAGACAGTCTGTGACTCCATACCCCACGGTGACCCTCCATCGAGGCAGAGGCACCTGAACCTCCAGTTTTTGTTCCTTTTCCAGCTGAACACAGTCTAACCTCAGCACTGGGGCAGAGGGCGTTTGTTTTGTTTTGTTTTGCCGATACCCACCACCACCACCACCACCTCGCCTCCTGATGAGGACTGAGTTAGCAGTGTAAATGATTAAGCTTTTAGTCATTTTCAGTAATGTGACTCAGCTCTTCTCTTGGTAGTTCTTAAAACGGTCGTCTCTACTAAATTTCCAGGTTTTAGTTACTAGAATATTTGGCCCAAGGTCAACTTTGAGGGGCTAACTTCTAAGTTAACATTTTTAGTACTAGAAATTTTAGAATACCTTAATTAAAAACTTGATGTTTTGCTATTTTAGAAACTACAGTCTGAAAATGCATTGACTTTGCTTTTTTCGAGGTAAAGTGGCTTTAGTGTATTTTCACATGCTGTTTTCCAGGCTGAAGCTGAGCTCACCAAGGAAAGAGCCCGGCATCTCATTGAGCTCCAAGAGCAAGCTCTTCTCTTTAAGGAAGAAGCTAAACTGGAACTTGACATTGAAAAAGAAAAACACCAGGAAGTAATCCGGAAGTACCAGCAAGAACAGGAGGGCCTGCAGATGAAGGTCTGTCACCACTGACCACAAACCTCACGCTCCACTCAGGCTCCCTTTCCACAACTTGACAGTCTGCTCACGGGTACCACACCTCCGCTCTGCCCACACAGACCAATGGTTTGGTTTACCTGCTTTCCAGAAAGGATGCTGGAGATAAATTACAAAAGCACACAGCCAAGCCCTGTATGTATTTTGTTTTCTGCTGATGTCAACTTACCTTTAAAACTGACCACACTGCATAGCCCATAACTAGCGTGGTTACAGAGTCCAATACCAAAGGATAATGAAGTATTTTACAGAATTAAAAATGTCCTTCCTGGGGTTTGATCTTCTTAACTAAAGATATGTTTAATTTTAATTAATTCTAACCATTTTTGGATGAGGAAAAATACAATAAAAAGTAGTAAGTCTGTTGAAGTGCCCTATTTTGTTAGTTGTTGATTTTACTTAATTCAGAGACATCCTCCTGCCTCAGCCTCCCAAAAGTTGGGATTACAGATGTATACCCCCAAGCCAGGCAAATTATTCCTGCATTTGTAGGACTGAACTGTAGAGAGAGGCAGAGGGCTAGAGTATGAATCAAAATTCAGTGTGAAACTGAAAAAAAACTCATTAAGAGTCCATGCTAGAGCTACTAGACGGCTCAGAAGGGAAGGGCACTGGCCACTGTGCCTTCAAAAATGAATTCAATCCCCGGGACCCACATGGTGGAAATGGGGAACCAACTCCTACATGATATCCTCTTACCTACACTTACACTCAGTGGAGCACATGCACCTGTACACACACATGCACACGTACATATGCACACACAAATAGATAAATGTCACTAATACATAATTATGAATTTTTTTAAATCCAAGTTAGGGGTTAGAGAGAGAACTCTGCATTAAGAACACTTTTGACTCTGATTCAGATCTCAGCACCTACATGATGTCTCACAACCCCCTATAACTCCAGTTCCATAGGCTCTAACTCACTCTTCTACCTTAGACATCCATGGACAGACATACATGCAAGCAAAACCCTCAGACACATAAAATAAATAAATCTGAGAAGAAAACTTAAAAAAAATACATGTTAATAAAGCACCAAACAGCCTAGGACTGCTGTGTTTGTGTGAAGACAGACATTTAGCCATTCTGGAGTTCACAGAGGACAAGGAAGACCAGCCACCAGAGCACATGACACAGTAGTGCCTGGCCCCACCCAGAATGCTCTTCAGATGTTCCTGTCTTGAAATTCCTGATGATTTCATCTTTGACTCTGTGGTGGTTTTTTGTTGTTGTTTTTTGTTTTCTCATGAATTCCTATTAACACAATGAAGCATGTGCTGGGAGCTGGAGCCTTGCTCTCCTGATGGGCTAGCCTGTCCTAGCCAGGTCCTCATGTCTTGCTGCATAGTTCCTGGTATCAAAGGCTCCACTGAGTGGCCATTTCCCTCTGCCCTTCACCTCATGACTGCAGTTGCCCTGAGTAGCTTATAATTCCATGGGCAGAGGAATGTAAACAAAATGATACCATTACTTAAGAGAAGTCTAAATTCAAATTTCCTAGGAGAAAGCTGATTTTTAAATGCTGACTCCCTTTTTAAAAATCCAAACGTATTTGTGGCTCGGTGAAACCCCTGTCACAGGGCAGCTTGCTCTGGTTCATTGTCAGCTCTGCTCTGAGGGAGGGAAACCACTGTTCAGACCTAACGGTGACCCTCTTGGGTTAGTTGAAAATAGTAGAATATTAATTTCTGCAATGACTCATGGTGGTGAACAGATTTCTTCCAGCAGTTATTCCTTACGTAAATTTAACATTTGAAACAAATTTTCGTACATACTGTTTTTAAGCAGTGGTCCCCAGAGCTCTGGGAACTGGCGTCTGTGGCGTTTCCAGAGTCTCCGTGGCTGGTTTCCTGCTGGACCATAAATAGAGGACTTTAGAGGCGCTCTGCATGCCTGCTCTTCTGTCGTTTGGTTGCTGTTGTATTGGTTTGCTGTTTGTTGGTTTGTTTGTGTTTTTGAAGACAGTAGCTCACACTGGTCTGCCACTCACCATGAAGCCCTGGCTGGCCACAAAGCCATAGTAATCTCTTGCTTTGGCTGGAATTTCAAGAGTAAGCCACCAAGCTCAACTTTCTGTTTTTTAAGAGAAAGAAAAGTCTTTTCCCTTCTAAAGACTGCATTCTTTGAGCAGAAGGCTCCCCGAGTTGTTGTCTCTTGTTCTTCTGTGAGGAGGAACAGCACATGTGGGCCCTGTCCTGGTATTCTCCAGAACAGTCATAACGACAGGCTTAGTGGCTACTCATCCTTCAGTCCGAGTCATTCGAATTTAAGACTTACTTCTTCAGTTGTATTGGTCGATTGGCAGTGCTCTGCAGCCAGGCCTGGCTTTCTGGAGCCCACTAAGCATGTCTCTCCCCTGCTCAGTCATCAGTTGTGGCAGATTAGCAGTAGTGGCAGAGGGATTCCAGCATTGAAATTAGATACAGATCTAACCCAGGGGAATTGTTTTTAAATGTTTACTGGCACCTCACTATAGAACAATCCAGAATATCCGTGATCCCAAGAAGTGGGGGAGTGCTGCTGTAGAAGACAGAGCTAATGTCTGGGGTACATCTGTCCAATATATAAGAAAGAAAAAATGACGTCAAAGGCAGACTTGCTGTTCTGATATGAGTGACGTACAACCATGGCACTCTCACTGTCTCCAAACATCAGGCAGGAACTTGGCGGTCCCCGAGTCCAGCCAAGCCCTCCCCGATCTGTTTGTGGGAAACTGAGTTACCTTTGGCAGTTCAATACAGTCACAGAGATTCACGTATTTCCAAGGGTGCCCACTTAGTTAATGGGATACCATTTTAGGAGAAAATAAATAAGACTGTGTTGACTTAAAAAAATATCTGAAGGCCCACATATGTCATAGAATTTGCTTTTCATCGGTTGGAAAAGCACACTGGTTTATTAGAAGAAACTTTTTTGTTTTATTTTGTTTTTGTTTTTGTTTTTGTTTTTTGAGACCCGGTTTCTCTGTGTAGCTTTGTGCCTTTCCTGGAACTCAGTCTGTAGCCCAGGCAGGCCTCAGGTTCGAACTCACTGAGATCTATCCACCTGCCTCTGCCTCCTGAGTGCTAGGATTAAAGGCCTGCACCACCACCGCCCGGCTAGAAGAAACTTCTTAACAACAGGAAGATCTCCGCAGTTCCCTGGAAACAGTTGTCTGTTAACTAACATGTGATTTATCTTACAGATCGCTGACTTAATCGCAGGCGCTACAAAAGACCTGAGGCTGGAAGTGGCCTCTCTCCAGGAAAAGCTCAACCAATGCCATGAGCAATACACTAAAGAGTCTGAGTCAAAGGAAAAGGAGATTGAAGACCTGAAAAGTCTGGTTGCGGAACTGGAGTGTCGCTTGAAGCAGGAAAGCAGCCACGAAGATTCCGTTTCAGAGGACTTGAAGAAAGAAGTGAAACAGAAGGCAGACGAACTGGAAAGAGTAATGCTGGCCCAAACACAGCTGCTGCAACAGTTCAGCCAGTCACAGGAAGAGGTAGGAAGCAGATGACCCCAGTGAAGAGCACGCCATTCAAAAAGCAGAAGGATACACAGACACACAGACACAAATGAGACAGGCAGTTTGAGGTCGGGGAGAGAGTCCACCTGGCTCCATGGTATCCCGTAGTGTGCAGCCATCCACTGGGACACAGCCCATCTACCGGGGCCACACCCCTAAGGGAGACTGACTCTCCTTCCCCTAGCAGCCGTCAGCTGTCAACATTGCTTCCCAGGTAGGGGCGGGAGGCTCAGGAGCCCACCCCTGCTCCCTGATGGAGTGCTGACTGGCTTGACCCTTCAGCCTCCGAGTCTGTAAGAACAAGGGTCTGGTCGTGTCAGTGAGAACCCCTAGTCCTGCATCGTAGACTCTTTCTGCTCCCCCTTCCACCAAGTTCTGTGAGCCATGGGGCAGTGGTGTAACACAGATGTCCCATCAGGGCTGAGCCTTTTCTGTGAATCAGTTCTGTGTTGCAAAGGATCACTAAAAAGCTCCAAGACTAGGGGGTCTTTACAGATGACATCTTATTTGCTTTAACATTAAGTCTTTGTCAAAGAAATTTTCAGAGCATATGCTGCTTATGTTAAAAAAATATGGACAATATAAAGATAACTGGACTTTCATGTCTTACACCTGTCAGTCTGGACTTCTGGGGAAGCTTACATGCTTGAGTCTTTGGTCGTATGTGTGCAGAGTTATTTCAGCAGTGTTTTAAAAATTGAAGTAGACTCATTTTTATTGAGAAATTTTTATCTCTCGATTATGTATGAACCACTAAACAGTTTATAAATAGTATAACAATTGTAATATTTGATCCAATTTATGACAGTATAGCATATAAAGACAAATAGTTTTGAATGCTAGTTGAGAAGTAAGGTTTTTGTTGGCCTTACTGGCATCTTAATAAAGAAGTAAATGGGAAATGCTAGCAATAATATCAGATATCAACAATAAACATGTTTATTTTGCTATATTTAAATTGCCAACCAAAATTGAAAGCTTATGTCAGCATTATAAATATAAAATGAGACTATTACATAGAATCATAAAGATGAAGTATGGAATGGAGAAACTGTTAAATAAGAACAATGTCCAACCTTATAAAGCAGCCATTATTTACATGTCACAAATGAGGAACTAACAAATTTGATAGTTTTACAGGCTCACACAATGAGGAAGCCAAGATTCAAATTTGAATCTCTGTGGGACAAAAGTTTCTTTTCCAGAAAGAACCACTCTTCCGGGAGTGATTCTGATTCTGAAGTTCAGGATAACCTCAGGCTCAGCCCGCAATACGCCGTAGTCTCCTTTACTTGCTTTTACTCTAAAAATGAACAAAAACACAAAACACCAAAATAATAAATACGGTCTGGCTTGGGCTGGGGGAGGGAGGGGACACCATAGGGTTGGGTGATGGTCTCATGTAGGAGGACAGCAGCTCATGCCAGTCAGGAAAGGAACAGGAACACGCTGGAGAAACTGAGGAAGGAACACACCGCGGATGCGCGTCTCGTGGGTCCATGTTAACATCCCTGTTGGGAGAAGGGCGCTAAAGGAGAGGGAGGCCATGCCACTGGACTAGCAAGTCTCGATCCCGAATAAGAAGTCACTCGCCAGGGGACAAATAGAAAAAGGAAAAGGTCAAATTTTTAAAAAATGTAAATTATCGTCTATGTAGAATGAACAAAATGGTACCTGCCACTTCCTACCTTCTGGGAAATGTTAAAGAAAGCCTTGAGTGAATAATTGAATTAACCTCCAGAATAAAGGAAGACCTATACAGAAATTTATTAGATGAAAAAAACCAAAAGGTAGAGGCACCCTCCCTTAAGAGCCTATAATTTAGTACTACTTGACAAATTACCCCCAAAGCCAGTGACTTCAAACTCTAAGAATTCATTGTCTCATTTCTCTTTGAAAGACATACTTGTTTACATTTATGTGTTTGTATGTGTCTATGTGAGTATATGCACATGAGTGCTGGTGTGTACAACCGTGTTCTCCAGTGGAAGTCAGAAGAGGGTGTCAGGTGTCCTCTGTCATTCATAGCTTTATCTGAGACAGAATCTCTTCCCGAATCTGGGGTTCTCACTTTCCTATATAGGCCAACAAGCCCCGGCCACCCTCCTGTCTCTGCCACTCACAGAGCTGGAGTTACAGGTGTGTGCAAGACACCCAGCTTATTACACGGGTGTTGGGTACAAATTCCAGTCCTCAGGGCTGGACAGAAAGCAACCCTAACCATTGAGCTATCTCTCTAGCCCCTTAGTCTCTTATTTCTGTGGATGAGGAAACTGTTGTAGTTTAGCTGGGTGTCTGTGGTTCAGGGTCACCTATGAGCTTGGTGTGAGGATGTCCATGAGGCAACAGTCTCAGCTACAGGCTCAGCTGAGAGAGACGGGGCTGCTGGCTTGCTCGAATGAGCAGTTATATTAACAGGTTAGTAGTCTCAGGAGCTGGTGATGGAGAACCTGTGGCTGTTGGCCAGAGGCATCCATCCCTCAATTCCATGCTGCATGGGCCTCTTCAGAAAAGAGCTCACACTGTCTGCCGGCTTCCCTCAGGACAAGTAGAGAAAGGATGCCAAGATATAATCTAAGACAGAAGCCACAGTCCTTAGGTAACCTAGAAGTGACGTCTCACAGCTTTCTTTATGTTCTCTTCATTCCAAATGAGCCAGTAAATCCAACCTACATGCAAGGTAAGCAAGACATCAAGATGTGATTATTAGGAGAGTGGGGTCCTGAGGCTGTCAAAAGCTTCAGTATTTGTTACTTTTCTATTGCTGTGATAAAATACCAGGACCAAAGCAGTTTATAAAGGAAGAAGTTTAGTCATGCTTATACTTCCAGAGGGTTAGAGTTTATGATGGTGGAGCAAGGGCAGGAAGCTGAATGGCTGGAGCAGCAGCTGTAGGCTCAGATCTTGATTCATAAGCAAGAGGCAAAAAGAGACACTTGGGAATGGGGCCAGTCTTTTGAAACCTCAAAGCCCACCCCAGTGACATATCTTCTTCAACTAGGCCACACCTCCTAATCCTTCTCAAACAATTCCACCAACCAGAAACCAAGTATTCAAATATATGAGTCTACACTTATATCTTCTAACCACACCCTCTAGAGGTGATGTTAGCAAAACTAAAAGTGAAGAGTGGATTTATTTATAGATAAGAGAGCTAAGGAGAGCTCATCTCATCTTGCTCCTAGTTATGAAAGGAAGTCACTTTTAAGACTGGTTTCATTTTTTAAAATGTGGACTTCTGTTACTAGAGAGATCACTCAGCAGTGAAGAGCAATTGTTGTTCTTCCAGATGACCTGGGTCAATTCCCAGAACCCAAATGCCAGCTCACAACTGTCTATAACTCCAGTTCCAGGGGATCTGATGCCTCTTTTGACCCCTCCAAGGACTCTTACTCACACACAGGGCACAAACATACATTCAGTCACACACACACACACACACACACACACACACACACACACGTAAATAAAATATTTAAAAACAAAACAAAATATGAAATTCTGAAAGATAGGAAGATATTAGGTCAGTATGTACATAGTAATGAATCATTACTAGAGGGGAGAAAGTATTGTTCATAAAATAAAGCTAATGAAAAATATGTGGGGGGGGCATTTTCCTTTTGTGGGAAGGACAAGTAGACTGAGTTTTTTTCCATCAAAAGTTACCAAAATATCACCTCAAGTTAAATAATGAGAACTGAAGTATAGGTAAATAACTGAGGTTTCTCTGGTTAAACAAGCCAATGTCCAAAATATGCTTATAAAATAGGAAATGAGCCAATGAAAGTGATAGGATTTATGAGCAAAAAGAATGTGAGCTGTAAATAAAGTCATATAAAATGAAAAGTTCTGTGTGTTTTTAACCATGTTCTGTAAATACTTTAAGTTCCTCAGATTCTGGAGAATTTAAAGCTGTAATTACTTGGAGAAAAAAACTCCCATTAGAATGAAGATAAATTAGTGTTCTCCCAAGGAAGCTAATTAAGGGGAGGAAAGTCCTATTCTCTTTCAAGAGGCTGAAGAGCGAGTGGAATTTGTTTTTAACTGTAGAAAGGGTAAGAAGGAGGCTGAAGCCTCTGAAAGACAGACTGGGCCTTCCTCAGTGTAGTGCCTGAGGAAGTGATACCAATAACATAAGGCAGAACAGTGAGAAGGTGCAGTAACTCAGAAGACAGAGAATGGAAAACAGAACTAATGGAAATGTAAATATGAACACGACTCCAAAAAGTTCTTATTGGGGAAAAGACACACACATTAAAAAACTGGAACACTGAAACAGAAAAGAGAGCAGGAAGTTAATGTTAGCAAGCAGCACATTGTTATTAAAGCCAAAGTAAAGCAGGGCATGTGTTTTTGGTACCAGGGGTCCGCTCATGTGAGTTCTACATGAGATCTATCAAGACAGCATGGCCCAGTGTAAGAGCCTCGTTATGCTCTTGTGATCTAGAGGAAGCCTATAATTTTTAAAAAGCACATCCAAAGGAAATAGAGAGTTCAACCTTTATTATTTTAAGACCATAGACAATTGAGGAAGAGGAGCAGAAGTTTCAAATTCTGCACTTTTGTAGCCCATCTAACGGTAGTTAAAAATGTTCAAAACTAGGAGGCAGTGCTCTTAGTTAAACATGGAATGGAGTGAGTGAGTTTTTCTTTACTTCACTGCACTGCCATGAAATTGTAGGAAGTAAAAGTGAATAAATCCATGAGGGCAAGGAAACAAGGGAAGAGTTGATACCTGATGAAAAAGACAAAATTTTGGAAAATGAAAAGCAAATGCCTGAGAGATAATGAATTTGGCAAATTATGGAATATTGAAACCCAGTACCTATTGTGGGTGACGGGATCCCAAAGGAGAAACCTAATTACATGGTACAGTATGGGAGGCTGGGGGGACTGGGGAGATGGCTCAGTGGTGAAGAGCACTGCTCTTCCAAAGGACCTGGGTTCAATTCCCAGCATCCACATGGCAGTTCACA